TTATAAATATGTTATTTCACTTTTTATATTTCAGTTTCTTGCTTGGACTTTAGAATTGTGTTTTGTTTCTTTGGACATAGCAAACATTGTTGTTTCATTGTTTATGTGTGATAATTCTATTATCTTAAGTCTTCGTGGGTCAATTTCTGTTGTATGTTGCTGGTTCCTTTCCTAATGTCTTATTTCCTTGTAGACCTAGTCATTTTTGTGCGATTCACTAAATATGAGAATTATAGGAATAATTTGATGCCTAGGATGCCACCTTCCTCTAAAAGTGGCTTTCATTTGCCTCTGCCATGTGTCTAGGAGTGCTACTATTCTGGGTTTGTCTTAGTCCTAATTCTTAGTCCTAAACTTAGTCCTAAGTTTTTTTGGTTGATTACATTAACTAGGTGATGGGGAAATTTTGAAATATTTCATTCAGTAGCTTTTTTGGTAAGTTTTTCTCATTCAGAGGATTGCTTTAAATAACTAAATAACCTAGCCTGTCATTACTAAAAGTGGAGCTTTTTCCATTTTGAAACTTCTCATATAAGACAGAGGTTTTATCTTTTCTTTGTGTTTGGTAGAACTCATATAAAATACCAACTGGTCTTAGGCCATTTTTGGGTGCTTCATTTTCTGGAATGTACTTCCACCTTTTGCCTGTCTAGTGCTCATCTAATCATTTAAGATTCAGCTTAAATGTCTTCTCTAGTAGTTTTTCTTCACCTCCCAGTTCCCTAGCTCTTTATACACCCTTTTCTGATATTATTATGTTTATATTTTTATATACGTTTATATTTTTGGATTCCCTTCATAGACCTAGAGCTGACTGATAGCTGAGGCATTATATTATTCATCTTTGTAATACTAGCTTCTCATACAGTTCATGATAGATGCTCAAAAAATATTGTCTAAATTGAAATACGAAAATGAAATTAAAAACGGATTGGTAGCAATCATAGGGGATTAGGTTACTAAGTTTACAAATTGTATAAACATCATTGATTCCCTACAATTACTAGTAACTATTACTAGCAACATCAGAATTATTGCCTCAAATACCAGCAGACTACCTACCTACTCCCTCGTGTACCTGACTTGCTCAATTTCCTAACAGCTTTCTACTTCCTTGCCCACTTTATCCCTCCTACTTAACTCAATTTCATACGATACATAGCTCAATGTCAACATTTGTTGAGCTAAGCTAAATATACGGCAAACACTGGATTGACATAGATTATCTCACTGAATCCTTCCAACCAACCCATTAATTAAGTAGACATGATTACTATTGTATTTTACAAATGAAAAAAATGTCTTAAAGAGATGGTTACTTGGCTGCTAAGAGATGGAAGCAGCATTCACAGCATCCCGGTGTGTCTGACTCCAGAGATCATGCTCTTTACTAGAGATTGGCGAACCTTTTCTATAAAGGCCGAGTAGCTAATATTTTAGGCTTTTTAGGCCATACAGCCTCTGTCACCACTGCTCAGTCCTGCCACTGTAGCATCAAAAAAACCATAGACAATGAGTAAACGAATGACCATGACAGTTTCCAACACAATTTATAAAACTAGATAGCGGGAAAGATTTAGCTCTTCAGACTGTAGTTTGCTGATCCCTGCTCTTAACAATGATACTGTTCTGTTATTTTTCCTTCAGTCTCCGAGTTTTCAGTTCACCAAATACTTA